ATATTGTTTTAAGGGGAGGGTGGGTCTGGGAGGGTATATTGTGACACTGTATTGATGTAAGCCGCCCCGATTGCTTCAGTAGAGGGGTGGGGATAGAAATAAATTGTATTATTATTATTATTATTATTAGTAGTAGTAGTAGTAGTAGTAGTAGTAGTATAAACAGAAAGAAAATAAAAATAACGACTATGGAGGATTTACATAAATTCAACTTAGATAAAGAGGAAATCGAAATTGTTAAATATTTCCTATACCTTGGATCAAACATTGATCAGAATGGACACTGCAGTCAAGGAATCAGAAGAAGATTAGGAATGGGAAGGGCAGCTATGAAAGAACCAAATTCCTAAAGTGTAAAGATATACAGCTGAACACCAAAGTTAGAATTATTCAAGCCATTGTATTCCCCATTACCATGTACGGATGTGAGAGCTGGGCAGTGAAGAAATCAGATAGATAGAAAATTAATTCATTCAAGATATAATCCGAAGAGTGCTGAGGATACTGTGGATGGTCCAAAAAACAAACAATACAATAAATCAAGTCTAAATACTCCTTGGAAGCCAAGATTACTAAACTGAGGCTATCAGCTGGCCACATCATGAGACGGCAGGACTCATTAGAAAAAATAATGATGCTGAGGAAGGTAGAGGGCAATACAAAGAGAGGAAGACTGCATACCAGATGGATAGACTCCATCAGAGAGCCCATGGGCCTGAGACCATTCCACACAATCAGGGCAATACACACAGTAAGAAGGTTGATCTATGTGATGGAATATTGCTAAGCAGAAGTGATTCTAAGATATGAATTGTCCTTCTTGTTCTTATGAAAGAACCAGTTTCACCCTGATGACCATTATAAGCAAGAATCAGTAGTCAGTAGTACAGCACGATGTTCCCTTTTTCCAGATATTATAAAGCACCTTTCCACAGAAAGCATATGTTAGCACTGACAATGTATAGTACAGTGCTGTCGAAATATGCTTAGCACCTGTATTTCCTAGAATGCTTTATGCTGGCTGGATTAATGGGAATTGCATTCCAGCAACATCTGGAGGACCACATGTTCCCCACTTCTAGAATACAGGTAAGGTATGGACATAAGACTACAGCCTAAACATCAAGATAAGATTTTGAATGAAAGAAGATAGAATAACTTTTCCCATGGAAAAACACAAGACAGATTCAAACAAAAAGAAGAAATGCTTGTTTTCTCTGCTTGCAGGAAATTCTTCCACTTCCATTTGACTGGCATGCAACAGCTCAAAGAAATCACCCAGGGTTGCATGTGGAATGACCCATGGAAGACTGACGGCTGACAGAAAACAAGGAAGCATTTGATATAACAAGAGGAGGTGTAAGTTCAGTCCAAGCATCCCTGGGATTCTCCAAACAGACCACATAAATACCTACTGTGTTGTTCACAACTGGTACCAATTTCAGCACAGCTTATTTCACACCCAAGTTGTTCAAATTTAAGCAAAAAAAAGGGAAATGGAAGGAAAAGAATGAGTCACTTCTTTTATAGCTGCAAGTTAATCATTTTTCACTGCCTTTGCACTTCTCTGGAAAGACAGTATATAAAGTGAATTAAAAAGGACCAGAGAACATAAGAAGAGTCATAGTTTATGGGATAGAATAATAAGAAGAGCCCTCCCTCCATTACCATCTGATGTCATCTGGGGGAGAGACACTAAGCCCAGCACCACCCAGCCTAGAATAGGAAGGAGGGATGGGATTCGAATTTGATTTATCTGCTTTGATGTTTGTTTTGATGTTTTGAAATGCTGTACACCGCCCCGATTGCCTAGCAGAGGGGCGGGATATAAATAAAAAATATTATTATTTATTATAGAAAACTTATCTAGCCCAGCATTTTGTTTGCAGAGTAGCCAACCTGATGTTTAGAAAGCATACAAATCAACAGTCTTATCCGCTATCATTACAAACTCTACTAGGTGGAGTTAAGTATGTAACCTCTAGTGATTAAGTATGTAATATTTATCAATGCTCTTCACATACGTTTGTGCATAGTATGCACAAACATAGGGGATAAGAGAGATCACTCACTCGTCGTACTTACTTAATTTGCATTTTGCTTCTCCTTCAAAGAACTCAAGATGGTGTCAATACTTTGCTCCCTCCTTTTTATCTTCACAATAATGCTATAGTGTAGGTTAGGCTGAGAAACTGTGACTAGCCCAAGTTTGCTCAGTGAGTTTCATAGTCAAGTAGGGATTTCAACCTTGATATTTGCAGTTCTAGTCCAATATTCTAACCACTACACCAAGCTGGCTCAACTGGCCAACGTGCTCCCATTCCTTGTCTTCCATACCACCATCCTCCTTTGGGACACACACTGTGGAAATGTCTTGGGAGGAAGGAGAAAGCAGGAACATGAGAAAAGAACAATGAAAGTGGTAAGAGTTTTAGAGATTAGGAACAACCTTAAGAAATTACTGTTGTCACCCATTTACATGGTCCATTATTAATGTGGACTGCAGTCTAGAAATCAGAAGGAGACTAGAATTGGGAAGGGCGGCTATGAAAGAAATAAACAAGATATAGAAGTGCAAAGGTATAGAACTAAATACAGCTGTTAGAGCCATCGTATTTCCCATCACCAGGTACAGATGTGAGAGCTGAACAGTGAAGAAAATTAGTTCATTTGAGATTTGATGCTGGAGAAGATTGCTAAGAATACCATGGTCAGTCAAAAAGACAAAATAATAGGTCATAGGATAGATCCCAGGGTTAAGAGCTTCAAAACTGAGATTCCTGGTACAGAAGAAGAGCCTTTATGTGGTGTCCAGTGTTGCAACAGCTCCATTGGCCATTGGTCCATTTCTTTGCACAATTCCATGTCTAAGTGATGACTAATAAAAACCTATATGGCTTGAGACCAGGCTATTTAAAGAACTGCATCTCCATTTATGAGCACATTAAAACTTTTTTTAATCTTCTGAAGAGGCCTTTCAATCTGTCCCAAAACCTTCTCAGGTTTGTTTGGTGGGGAGAGAGGCAGTTCCCAGACTTTGGAATTCTCTCAGTAGGGAGGCCAGGATGGTCCATTCCTCCTTCCATGAGATAAACATTTTTATCTCTTTAGGCTTTTATAAACTGACTGTGAGAAAGTGTATTCCACTGTTGAACAGCTCTCACTGTCAGGAAGTGCCTTCTAAAATGTTCAGGTGGAATTTCTTTTTCTGTAGCTTCCATCCAGTGTTTCATGTTCTAGTCTCTGGAGCAGCAGAAAACAAGCTTGCTCCATCTTCGATATGACATCCTTTCAAATATTTAAACAGGGCTATCATATTACCTCTTAACTTTCTCTTCTTCATGCTGAACAAACCCAGCTCCCTCAGTCTCTCCTCATAGAGTATGGTTTCCAGACCTTTCACCATTTTGATCACCTTCCTCTGGACACATTCCTCCTCCTCCTCCTCCTCCTCCTCCTCCTCCTCTATTGTACTCTAATAACAAAATCAAGTAAGCAAACATTCATGTTGGAAAACCAGCACTCTCTCTCACTCTCCTTTCTTGCTGTTAGACCAGTTAGAATTTCAGACAGGACAGAATTTCCTGCATGTTTAAACCCTTCCACTTTCTCATCTAATGCCTCCCCATTTGCTCTTCCACTCACTGAAATTCATGGTTATCAGTACCTTTGTGTATGAGACCCAGCATGGTATAGCAGTTTGGTCTGATTGTTGGGCTATGACTCTAGAGATCAGGGTACCATTCCTCAATCAGCCATAGAAACCCCGTGGCTTGGGACCAGGCTATTTAGTCACACACTCTCAGCCCCAGGAAACCCCGTGATAGGGTCACCATAAGTAAGAAGTTATTTAAAGCATGCAACAACAACAAATCTAAGTAACTAGTAGACTATGTGACCCTGGAAACCTCAAAGGTCGATGGTCATATAAACACCTCTTCTCTCTCTCTCTCTCTCTCTCTCTCCTCTCCCCCACCCACACACCACTGTTCCAGTCTGCAAGATGGTGAATTAAAGATTGGAGCTCTTTCTTGTACCCTAATCTTTTCGTTAGCTAGTTAGGATGTAGGCTTATGATGGCAAATCTATGGCATGCATGCCAGAGATGGCACTGCAAAGCCATTTTCCCCGTCGTACAGAGGGTGGGGAGGAGAAAGAGGCACGTGCCTGTTCCTCTTCTTCCCCCTCGCCCCCCATGGCCTTCAGTTATCTCTGGAGAGGCAGCTGAAGGCCCAGGAGGGCGAGGGAAAGAAGTCTCACCCCAGAAGTCCTGCCCCCAGAGGATGGAAATCTTGTCCTCAGCACTGTTTAACACCCAGTGCTGGAAGGCCTTTTAGTTTGGGTACCTGGCCCCTAAAAGGTTCGCCATCACTGATATAGGCACTCTATGCATATGTAAATAAAAAAGCCATTAGTACACTTTTTCTAAGTTTGTAACTAGAAATTGCCTGCCTTGTTTATTCTGAGTCAGTTTCAGTGACTTGGCTACAAAGACTGTTTGCTGTACTTCATCAACATCACATTTCAACACAGGGAAGTAAGGTGAGATTGAGGCGTGCTTTATTCTGCTCATCCTTTAAAAGAAGGTTGATTCAGCTTAAAGTTTGGTCTTCATATGCTCCCCCAAAGGGTTAACAACCTGAAACACACTCTAATTCCCACAATTCCTTTAAATCATCTGATGATAAAGTTAATAATTAGCTTCACATGATAAACTAGATCTTTAGTATTTTTATTTCCCATTTTATTTTATTTTCCCATTTAGATAGAAAGTACTCTATTAGGTATTAATACCGCACTGAATTCTCCTTAAGTTGCTTTGAGGGAGAAAAATTATTTAGGAAAAAATTACTTATTTGCTTACTTTGTAGGCAAACACTCATTTATTATGTACATTTATTATCTACACTCATTTATTATCTACCACTGTTCCTCTCCACACACACCCTTTATCATCACAACAACCTTGAAAGATAGATCAAGCTGACAAGTAATAAGTGTCCCATGGTCACCCAGTGAGTTTCATAGCTTTCCTATAATTTTGGAGAGAAAATCTTATTTGGAAAGTATTAGCCTACATCCACAAAAAGGAACAGCTTTCTGTAAGAGTGATCTGCAAGATAACTTTTTATTATACATTAATGTTGAAAGCAAGCCATATAGCTCATAACGATCTTGCTTTGCAAGCTTCTGTAATTTATTGAAACATCTGTGGAACAGGACCCAGTCCCAGGTTCTCCATCATGTGTGGCTTATTCATTCCTCTGAAAAAAGAGCAAGTAATTCTGATGGAGTTGCCTTTACATGCACTCTGCATCCATGGCATGTAGGTGTGAATGACTGCACAAAGGCATAGAGAAGGAGAAAATTAGATCATGGGATCCAGCTAATTATCCAGTCACTTCAGGATGCTGATGAGTCAGTGATGTAATTAGGTAATTTGTTTCATGAGCCTAGCCTGGGTGTTCCAGTAACATTTTAACTGCAGCAGCTATTAAGTAATGTAATTGTTTTCTAATTACCTATTCTCTATTTTATGGCATAATGGCTTTCTTTTACAAGTGACCCAGACGTTTTAGCAGAACCACCAGGGAGGGCAATATACCACCCAAAAACACTTGTGTCTACCTGGAGTTACTTGTTAAGAGCAGTGGTTCTTAAACTTTTTACTCTTGTGACCCCTTTTACATCTACATGTGGACATTATGCCCCCAGTAGTTGTAGTATATGAATAAAAATACTTTGTTTAGTGTACGTATTTTCATTTGAACATTCATATAATAACAACAACAACAACAACAACAACAACAACAACAAGTTTTATTTATAGCCCGCCTCTCTGCATGGCAATCGAGGGGGATTACAGCATTTAAAACATGACAAATTAAAACATTCCCTCCTCCCATAATCTGCCCTCTCACCTTAAAACAAGATTAAATCAGAAAAGAGTTAAAAACAATACATTAAAACAATATAATAAAACAAAGGATCAGCTGTGCCAGCTGGAAAAATTAAAGCTGATCTCCTTACAGCAAGTGTTATTCTGGGAAGGCCTGTCAGAAGAGATC